TGTTCTAGTTTGTTACCGCGGTGGGTGCTCCTGTTGTTCTAGTTTGTTACCGCGATGGATGCTCCTTGTGTTCTAGTTTGTTACCGCGGTGGGTGCTCCTGGTGTTCTAGTTTGTTACCGCTATGGGTGCTCCTGGTGTTCTAGTTTGTTAACGCGATGGGTGCTCCTAGTGTTCTAGTTTGTTACCGCGGTAAGTGCTCCTGGTGTTATAGTTTGTTACCACCGTGGGTACTCCTGTTGTTCTAGTTTGTTACCGCGGTGGGTGCTCCTGGTGTTCTAGTTTGTTACCGCGGTGAGTGCTCCTGGTGTTATAGTTTGTTAACACGGTGAGTGCTCCTGGTGTTATAGTTTGTTACCACGGTGGGTACTCCTGTTGTTCTAGTTTGTTACCGCGGTGGGTGCTCCTGGTGTTCTAGTTTGTTACCGCGGTGAGTGCTCCTGGTGTTATAGTTTGTTACCCCGATGGATGCTCCTGGTGTTCTAGTTTGTTACCCCGATGGGTGCTCCTGGTGTTCTAGTTTGTTACCGCGGTGGGTGCTCCTGGTGTTCTAGTTTGTTACCGCGGTGAGTGCTCCTGGTGTTATAGTTTGTTACCACGGTAGGTGCCCCTGTTGTTCTAGTTTGTTACCGCGATGGATGCTCCTTGTGTTCTAGTTTGTTACCGCGGTGGGTGCTCCTGTTGTTATAGTTTGTTACCACGGTGGGTACTCCTGTTGTTCTAGTTTGTTACCACGGTGGGTGCTCCTGGTGTTCTAGTTTGTTACCGTGGTGGGTGGTCCTAGTGTTCTAGTTTGTTACCGCGATGGGTGCTCCTGGTATTCTAGTTTGTTTCCGCGGTGGGTGCTCCTGGTGTTATAGTTTGTTTTCTTTGTATATATATTTATATAAAGAGTTAATTGAGGTTGTTGTTGTTTTTTGTTGTTGTTGTTGTTTTTGTTAAGCGCAAAGTTATACAATGGGTTCTCTGTGCTATGCCCATCATGGATATCGAAACCCGATTTTTAGCGTCGTAAGCCCGCAGGCTTACCCCTGAGCCACTGGAAGGCAAACGAATTAATAACTTGTTTTATGTTATAAAAAAACTGATTAATCTACAAATTTACGTAAGAATCTTGTTACAGTGTGAAAGGGGAATCTGTTTACATTATCGTACATTTTCGGGTAAGATGTCGATTGATTTGTGGGGGGATCTGTTTACATTATCGTACAATTTTCGGGTAAGATGTTATTTGATTTGTAGGGGGGAATCTGTTTACATCATCATACAATTTTCGGGTAAGATGTTAATTGATTTGTAGGGGCATCTGTTTACATTATCGTACAATTTTCGGGTAAGATGTTAATTGATTTGTAGGTGAATCTGTTTACATTATCGTACAATTTTCGGGTAAGATGTTCATTGATTTGTAGGAGGGGAATCTGTTTATATTATCGTACAATTTTCGGGTAAGATGTTAATTGATTTGTATTAAACAGAACTTCTTATAAAACCTAAATTTCAATAGTTATAGAAATATCAATTTTTCAAAAAGCAAAAAAATGTCAGTTTTGTTTATTTAATTTTGGAATCATGAAGTAACCATATGTAAAGAATACCAAGTTTCCAGTTAGATAAAGCAGGAAAACAATGATCTACCTCTTTCTTTTATAAAGAAATGGCCTGATATTTGACTCCAGAACTCGTATTAAGAATCGGTTATAAGAAAAAATCTATCGTTCAGTGAAGAAATATAATACATAAAGTTTATTAATTTATTCTATTACAAGTTATAGCTTTTACTGTAAGGAAGAGCCAATGGCACAGCGGTATCTCTGCGGACTTACAACGCTAGAATTCGGGTTTCGATACCAGTGGTGGGCAGAGCACAGATAGCTCATTGTGTAGCTTTGTGCTTAACTACAAACAAACGGTAAGGAAGAATATATTTAAAACAGGTATGACATTTCGATCACTGGTGCGATCATTCTCAAGTACACAAGTTATAACAGTAAATTAGGTTTTAGTGTGACTTATAATAAAATAATACTTAATCAGTAAGTAAATTTAAACCGAAACTATTAGTT